AAGGAAGAGGCAGAAAAGAAATGACACAAGGACAGTTGTGGAGGGTCTTGTACACTTTGGTGGTGGCAAAGGTATAGTAAATTTGTGCAAAAACTTATAAATGTTAAAATTATTGTAACCATGTTGCCTCAACTAAAATTTATAAATAAATTAACTGGGGGCTGGGTAAATAAGGCCCTCCCGTTGATCGTCGATTTGCTCGAGCGGGCCCAGTAACGTCTCCATTGGAGACTTTGTTGTTACTGTGTCTGGCATACCGAATACTCTCGGTAGCTTGCCGGGCTCTCCGAGAGGGGCGGAGGAATCGAACTCGGGTCGGCCATGTTGGCCGCTTGTAAGGCGAACGCCCTACCCGCTGTGCTATCGCTCCAGATAAATAAATTAACTGGGGGCTGGGTAAAAGAGGCTAAGGTGTGTGCCTTGTATACAGCTGACCATGGTTCCATCCTCAACACCAACTATGGTCCCCCCAAACACAGCCAGGAGGAGACCCTCAGCATAGAACGAGGTGTAAGCCCCAACTACTACTGGGTATGATCCAATACCAAGCCCCAATAAAATTAATTGACTAAAAATATTCTTTTTTATTTTTAAAATTAAAGCACCACAATTTACAAAGTTGTTCGGGATAGAGTTTCAGGCATGAAGAATACCAACACCAATCCCATCACCACTGCGAACTCAGTTCCACCTATGTCCCAGACTGTCTCCCACATGCCACATTCCTCCTTGACAGACACATGTCTAAGTTCGGTTATTGTATTTTGGGTCTCATGCTTATAGTGTTGTTGGTTCTGTGGTTTAGTTAGATGCGTATATCTCAACTCTATACCTGATGTGCCTGACACCCCTGGCCCCTGACCCTGTTATCTCCCATTCACCCCCTTTTACTTCTGCCACCACCAATTTCTTTTCTTCTTTTTCCTTTCTGTAATATAGGGTCCAGGATTTAAAGGTACACTCTTTGATATCTTATATCCCTTCATCTCTTTGTCTTTATACTACAGATATATGAGACCATCAGATATTTTTCTTATGACTCATTTCACTTAACATATCTTTCAGTTCCATCCAAGTTGCAGTGAATTGTATTATCTCATCATTCCTTGCAGATGTATAATATATACATACACATGGGATTTGGTTGTTCTTGCAGTTACAATTTGTTTTTTATGTGGCTTCTCAGAAATTCTTGCAGCGTTGGTTTGGATGTAGCAAATGTCACCAACTCTTTCTTTTTTTTTTCCCTTAAATTTTTATTAGTGAAACACCATTAGGTACAGTTGTAGACTTACAAATTTTCGTGCTTGGGTTTCAGTTATACAATGATCTAATACCCATCCCTCCACCAGTGCCCATTCTCCACCACCACCAGTCCCAGTATCCCTCCCACTCCCCTCCCCACATCCCACCCTACCTCTGTGGCAGGACATTCCCCTTTGTTACACCAACTCTTTCTCGTCCAAAATTAATTGTTTGTATCTCTTCCTCCGATCTAAATGATCAGTCTGCAGATTGGAGAACTCTATGCTAAACATTTGTTTTATCAGTTCTTTGAATATGTCATTCTATTCTCTCCTTGTTTGTGTGCTTTTATATGAGAGATCTGTTGTGATTTTCATATTATTCCTCTTGCATTTAAGGTTTTGCTTTCTCTTGCCAATTTAAGAACTCTCTCTTTGGTTCTTGAAATTTTGATTAAAATGTGTCTTGATGTTATTCTAGTTGAATCAATTTTGTTTGCAGTTGTAGCATATATACATAATGGAATACTAAGCAACTTTTAGAAAAGATAAAATCTTGCAGTTTGTTCATGAAGATGCCTCTTACAAGTAATTTTTGCTCCAGGGCCTTTCATTGGCTTGACTAAGATTTTGACCATCTGTATTTTTATTCTATCCTGCTTCCTTTCTTCTCTGCCTTCCCATGTTTTATTCAGGTAAGACTGATCGCATCGTAGCCTCAAGCCTTTCCATTCTTACTGATTCTTCAATCTTTTACAATCATGACCTCTTTCCCACAGTTCCTAACTGCATTTCAGCTTTTAATTTCAGACAGAATGAAATTTAGCAAACTTCAGATTATTTTGAATCAGCATATCTAAAATGGATCTGGAAAATCTATAATGTTTTTGTCCACATTAGTATGATATTTGAACCACCTCTGTAGTGGGAAATGTTAATATATTTTAATAAATTAAAATTAGCATTTATAAAGAATTTTAAATAACTTTGAGTATCATTGGACATGGCTAACATAAAATTAAGAAATTTTTTGTTTTTTGGTTTTTATCTTTCATTAATAGTTAAACAAGTGTGTGTGTGTGTGTGTGTGTGTGTGTAAGTGAAAAAGGGCAAGAGAAAGAGAAAAGGAATGTGTGTGTAAGAGAGAAAGGGCAAGAGAGAGAAAGAAAAAGAAGTGTGTGTGTGTTTGTGTGTGTGTGTGTGTGTGTGTGTGTGTGTAAGATTGAAAGGGTAAGAGAAAAAAATAAAAAAAGAGAAAGAGAGAGGGAGAGAGAGACTTTGGGACTACATTCAATGGTGCTCAGCCATATGGTATGCTTGGGACCTATAGTTGGGGTAACTTGTGGTAGTCTCAAGGAACTGTAAGGTGCCAAGGATAAAGCCCAGGCCTCCTGCATGTAGATCATGTGCTCAGCCCATTGAGCAATCTCTCCAGCTAAGTGGGACAGGCCTGGTTAGTACTTGAATGGGGAACATATTTTTGTTTGTGTATTTGTTTGGATTTAGGATCACACTCAACAGTGCTCAGGGCTTACTCCTGGCTCTATGCTCACAGTTCACGCCTACAGGGCTCAATGGATCATATGGGGTGCTGGGGATCAAACCCAGGTTGGCCTTGTGCAAGGCAAGCATCCTACTCACTGTATTATCTCTCCAGTCCCGCAAACATATGTAACTGAACTGTTAAGAAACTGTTTGAGTCTCATCCTTATATGGGGAAATCCAATGTATTGGAGATTTGAAGGAAAACTGTGTCAAAATCTGAATAGTCACTTATCTAATGTCATTATGTTAGTCAAACACACGACATAATTCAAATTTTCTGTTAAGAGTAAACACAGTGTAACCCAGCATATTAATAAGAAAAAATAAACTAAGCATATTAATAAGAGAAAATTGTTGTTTTAAATGTTCCAAATGGCATATATGAAGAATGAACAGAATTTGTTTCAGTTTCTAACATAAAAAGTTTTGATGATTTTCCTGCTTTGACAAAGAAGCAGATTTACCACCATATTTTTCAAATATAAAATACTTATATTATTGAAAGATGATTAAAGATCGTTACCCATAAATTCATCGTATTTATGTAGTAATAGCACATTTTCAAAATTTTAGCTCACAGAATAATGAAGAGGATTGTGTAATTCCATCACCATTGTCAGAACATAACACCATATTTTAAAGATCTAAGTCATTCATAATGTATATTTAGTTGAATTTCATAGACAAGTAACGTTTTTGATATATAATCATAAAATGAACACCATAAAATATACATTTCAAATTTAGCACAGCAAACTATTAAGAAGTTGTCTGAATGTATCTAATTCTCAAAGGTTTTCTCTTCTCTTTCTCTCTATCACAGACATAGTGTGTCAGGAAAGTAAAAAATCATGTTTTGTTAAATAGAACAAGTTTATTTTATATTAGCAAGCTGATTGATTATAAACAGGAGCGGTACTCCTGCAGATACTAAAATAATAGTATAATAGTATACGGGAAAACACAGTCAAACATTATTAGAGGAAGTGTAGATTGATACAGCTTTACATATCTCTTAATAATTAAGATGCACAAACTCTTTGACCTGGCAATTTCACTCAAGGAAATTATCTTACATATATAATGAAACAAATATTAAAGAAAAATACACAAAAGGCATTCTATATGCTATAATGTGGTAACAGCAAAACAAATCAAAATAAAACAATAAATGTCTATTGTTTGCATTATGCTTAATAAAATTATGACATAGCCATACAATAGAATTTTATTTTTTATTTTTTTCAGTCATAAAAAATGAGGTAGCTCTGCTTGTGTTGATATGTAAGTTAATCAACGTATAATGTTATCTTTATATAAGTACAAACTTTATTATGGTATGTTCACATTTGTGTCTAGACAGAGATGTATGTGTAAATAAACACACAAGTGCATACAAATAGCATGGGCGTATAAATTCATCACATGCACATAAAATATTCTGGAAGAATACATAAAAATGGTTGATAACAGAATATTCTGTGGAGTGGTTTTTTGAGAAAATTTGGTTTTCATTATACAAGGTCCTGAACAATTTTAATATTTTATCTTTATACGGGCTGGAGTCGGAGAGCCCGGCAAGCTACCGAGAGTATTCGATATGCCAGACACAGTAACAACAAAGTCTCCAATGGAGACGTTACTGGGCTCGCTCGAGCAAATCGATGATCAACGGGAGGGCCTTTACCTTTTACCTTTACGGGCTGGAGATACAGCACAGTGGGTAGGGCATTTGCCTTGCACACGGCCGACCCAGGATTGATTCCTCCGTCCCTCTCGGGGAGCCCAAGAGTATCCTGCCCTCCTGGCAGAGCCGGGCAAGCTCCCCGTGGCATATTCAGTATGCCAAAAACAGTAACAACAAGTCTGACAATGGAGATGTTACGGGTGCCTGCTCGAGCAAATCAATGAACAACAGAAGGACAGTGCTACAATGCTATCTTTATATGGGCTTTCCTTATAATATCAGATCTTCAGAGAACTAGTTAGTAGCAATAATGATTCAAATATTTCAGTTCTGTGAGGATATTAATATAGATGTTCCAGAATGTCTCTAGTTTCAGAGAATCTTTGAAAAGATAATTCTAAGTTAGGTCCTTTCGCACAATAAGAAAATTTAGACAGCAATTGCATTGTATCTTGATCCATTTGTTCTTGTTAAACTCCAGTGACTTATTAAATATGAAGAGCCTTTTCATTAGCTTTACTTTGTTAAACATGAGACATCTTTGTTCTGTCTGTAGTATCATATAGAGGATTATTCTTTTCTGTGTAGCTGGCATAGGGCTGCATTTCATCCTATAAAAGAACACAGTTGAAATAAAAATTTTAAGTCAGTCATCATTATAGAAACTACACATATTTTTCAAACAGGCATCTTATTTTTCTATTAGCTTTAAGATCTATCTATAGTGGTTATATTTGTACCTTTAAACTTGCTTGAGCAGAGAATAAAACTCTATAGAAATATTATTGAATATCAGGAATTCATGAAAGATAATAAATGTTGTATAAAGTAGGAATAGAGAAGAATGAAGAGATAAGAAAAGCATTTCAATAGAAAAGGTCAAAGACTTTAGTAAGCTATTGGTTATGTGATAATAAGGATTGAAATATATTTTGAGTTGGGTAAGAAAGAAATGATAACGGTATTGAAACGAGGCAATCTTATTCAGACTCTGAAGCCATTGAAAACATACTCTGAAAACCCTCAAAAAAAAAAAGAAAAGAGGAAGTCAGGAAATATATATATATATTATATACTTAATCCAAAAAATTTTATGCATGTGAATATTTATCTTAGTACTTAGTAGAATATTAACTTTAGTACTTAGTAGAATAAGCAAGATATGTAAAACAACCCAAATATCCAGTGAAAGATGACTAGGCAGAGACTCTGTGGTTACAATATAGTACCAGAAGTACTTGCCATATCAGTTAGGCAGGAAAAAGTTATCGAGGGCATCCAGATAGGAAAGGAAGAAATCAAGTTTCCCCATTTGCAGATGAAATGATACTATAGAAAATCCAAAAGACTCTACAAAAAAAAACTCCTAGAAACAATAGATTTGTAAAGTGACAGGTTGCAAAATCAATACCCCAAAGTCCACGGCTTTCCTATATACAAATAATGAAAGAGAAGAAAGATTTTTTTAAAAATCCCATTTGTAGGATAACATTAGGTTTGTCCTTTCAGTCTTGCCACAGCGAACTTAGTTTCCCTTAAAGCAATGTCCTTTCTATATGGACACAGGAGGACAGTTAATATTATGCTCTTGTAACTTGGAAGTTGATTGACTCCGAATAATATTTACTGCTGGGCATATGCTTCCTCAACTCAGTTGCCCTTAGTTCCTAGCACTCCAAAACCAAGGTCTCAACTAGGGACTGAATGGATCAGGGCAAGCTGTGAGCTTCCCTGGCATCGAAATGGGCCAGGTCAAAGCACCCCAATAAGTTGAAAGTGTGGTCATAGACAAATGCTGTCATGATTAAAAAGTAACAACGAGATTAGGAGCCTGCTGAGATTAGGAAGACTAACCTGACCTGAGGACCGTGGTCTAGAATATATAGTGAGATGTCCTCAAGAAGAACCAAACTTCCTTGTCCCCGCCTGGACCAGACCCCGAGTTACTGCCCATGAAGGGCTCCTCCACTCCTGAACAGCCATGATCCCAGAGGCACACAAACCAATCTGGGAACCCAGTGGCTTCTGGCAGAAATCCCTCTGGACTTTATTACTAAAATAACAGAAATCAAAAATCACGCGGCTGCAACAGATATCATATGCTCTTCATTATCAGCAATAGAAAACAAATTATCTAACGATGCCTTTTTGGCAGATCTGATAGTTGAGGGAAAATTCCAAATGATAATAGTGGGTCTTCTGTCAAAAAATTGAATGTAATCAATGTAAAGAGAGAGTAAAGTAAAAATCATCTGCCACACAGGCAGGGGGAGGGGTGGGATGAGGGTATACTGGGTTCTTGGTGGTGGAACATGTGCACTGGTGAAGGGATGGGAATTTGATCATTGTATGACAGAGGCTTAAACCTGAAAGCTTTGTAAGAAACATATATAATACAGATTCAGTGTATAACCCTATAAGGTAAGTTATCAATGATATTTTTCAAGAAATAGATCAAACACTCATGAAATTAATATAGAATAATAAATTCCCACAAATAGTTAAAGAAATTCTTTGGAAAATAAGATGGGATACATCAGTTTCCCCAACTTCATACTGTACTACAAAGCAGTAGTAATTAAGAGAGTATGGTATGAGTATGGTAGAGTATGGTATTGGAATAAGTGACAGACCTGCCAATAAATGAATAGAGTTGAATTTCATGACACAGACCCTCAAATATATGACCATTTAATTTTTGATAAAGGAGCAATTAAATGAAGTGGAGAAAAGAAAGCCTCTTCAATAAGTGATGCTAAGAAACTTGGGCAGTTAAATCTTAAAAAATAAAAAACCCACGAACTGAGACATCTCTAACACCATCACAAAAGTCATATCAAAATGGACCTGAATTCATAAGGTACATGGAGAAAAATGCCAGCATAACAGTGAAACTAAAGGTTTCTTCAAAGATGAGACGCCATTGACCAAACAAGTGGAAGCAAATAAAAACAAATGAGACTACATTTGTAAGTAAGCTTCTAAGAAGCTTCTGCATCTCAAAAGAAACAGTGACCATGATAGAGAGACAGTCTATGGAATAGGAAAAATTATTTACTCAATACCACATCTGATAAAGAGTTAATATCTAACATATATAAGACACTGGTAGAACTTAACAAGAAAAAAGAACAGTCAATCCCATCAAAAATGTGGTAAATAAATGAACAGAAACTTCCTTAAAGAAGAAATACTAATGGCCAAAGTTCACATGAAAAAATTCTCTCTTCACTAATCATCAGGGAGATGCAAATCAAAACAACAATGAGATATCTCACAACACAGAGACTGGCACACATCAAAATAAGAATAACCAGTGCTGGTGTGGATGCAGGGAGAAAGGGACTCTCATTTATTTTTGATGAGAATGCCAACTGGTTCAGCCTTTTGGGGAAAAAATATGGGAATTCTTCAAAAAACTAGAGATTGAGCTTCCATATGACCCAGTAATGCCTCAGCTGGGAAAATACCCTGAGGCCCAAAAACACACAGCAGAAATACCATCTGAACTTCTGTGTTCATTGCAGCACTATTCACAATAGCCAGAATCTGGAAACACCCCTAGTGCCTGAGAACAGATGACTGGATAAAAAAACTATGGTACATCTATACAATGGATCATGAAATTTGCTTATAAGGAGAAAAGAAAAGTGCCTGCCATAGAAGCAGATGGGGGGAAGGTGGGCACTGGGAACATTGATGGTAGGAAATTTACTCTGGTGAAGGGACAGGTGTTATAATATTATATGACTGAAACTCAATTGTGAGCAACTATGTAACTATGTATCTCACAGTGATTCAATTTTAAAAAAGAGAAATATGCTGTTACATATACACAATTGAGTACTATGCAGCTATAATAAAAGATGAGATCTTGCAGTTTACTGCAATTTGGATGGAACTAGAAAGTATCACATTAAAAAAATTAATCATTGGGTGTTAGTCTCATATTATTTTATTTTAAATTCCACAAAAGAGTGCAGTCATTCTATGTCTGTCCCTCTCTTTCTGATTCCTTTCACTTAGCATGATACTCTCCATGTCCATCCACTTACAAGCAAATTTCACGATGTCATCTTTCCTAACAACTGCATAGTATTCCATTGTACGGATATATCTCATGGTGATTAGATTTTTAAAAAAAAGAAGAAAACAAAAATTAATTAGAGGGAATGACAAATACAAGATGATCATTCACTTGTGGTATAGAGAGAAAAAAGGAAATAGACAATATAGAATGGTGACAAATCCTTGATTTTGATTGAGATTATCAAATAGTGCAAGAGCAGATGGGGAAGAATGTAGAGGCAGACTAGAAGTAAGAGTAGGATGTCCTGTCCTGTCCTGTTCTGTCCTGTCCTATCCTCCCATTGATCATTGAGTTTCTCGAGCGGGCACCAGTAATATCTCCATTGTGAGACTTGTTACTGTTTTGGGCTGGAGCGATAGCATAGCAGGTAGGGCATTTACCTTGCATGACCTGGGTTCAATCCCTCCACCCCTCTTGGAGAACTCGGCAAGCTACTGAGAGTATTCTGCTCACACGGCAGAGCCTGGCAAGCTACCTGTGATGTATTCAATATGCCAAAAACAGTAACAGTAGGATACTGATAGAGAATATTGAATACTTTAGTGATGCTTAGGTGTGACAACAAAACTATAAACATTAAAACTATTGTAAACTTTCTATCTAAACTACAATTCTGTTTTAAAATAATTAAAATTTTTTTCACAAAAACCTATTTAGTATAAAAATTATAATTTATGAAATTATGATTTCATAAATTATATGAAACCAACCTTAATTGCTTTGTAGAGTGAAATTCATGAAATTAAATATAATGTGGGTATTGTATAAATATGACTTGGTAGATATTTGACAAATTAAGTATAACTGAACATTTACCTTGTAAAATTAGAATTTTTCCTTTTCAATTAAAATGCTAATATTGAAAATTATTAATTATATCACTGTAATTTGAGACAACATTGTTTAAAAGTTTAAAAATACCTTTTTAAACTTTATCTTACCTCCACAACTAAAGACTCTTCTCTTCCTTTCAGTTTACATTTTCTGAAAATTTTGAAATAAGTGAAAGTGAATGTAGGAAATATATTCATATTGAAAATGAAAAACATAGAATTCCAATTACAAATGGGGTTGATTTTGATTGATGCCATAATGAATCAAAAGATGGACCACCAAAACCCAGCAGAGAACACTATGTCTGGATAATAAACCCAAATAAGATATCTGTGATCTTTAGGAAGAAAGTAAAATTATTCAAGAGAAGCTAAATATAATAGATTATGAGTGACAACTTCTCTTCAGTATAGAAAATGAATCATTGTACCTTTCTCAACATAGAAAATTTACATTCCATGCCTTACATGGCAACCACTCCACTGACATGCCAATTCCTACTAATATTCTACTAATATTCTCTCATTATTCAGAGTATCCCACATCTAACACTTTAAAAGCAGTTTCGTGAATATGGACGAACTTAAAATAACATCGTAATATAACCCAACTAATCAATTACATGTTTCTAACCTATGTCTAGTTCAATAAAGCTGAAAAAGTACAAAAATCAATCAATACCTGCAGTGATAGGTTTTCAGAAACAAAATGGATCCCATGATGGTCAAGATGATAAGAATTGGGGAAATAGCACAAGACAAAATTGTTCCCAGTGAGTTTCCCCCTGTAAATATAGACAAAGTATATGATTCAACATAAATATATACACACAATGGAATGTTAATCTATACCAAAAATATACTTAAGAAGCTTAAATGTATGTTTAAGTGAAAGATGTATCTTACAGAGTACACATAGTCAATAAAAAAGGGTATCATACTTTATTATTAAAACTACATAACACTGTAAAAGGTTAAACTGTGAATACAGTAAAATATTAGAGGTTTCTTTGATAAAGGTTCGAATGGAAGGAATTATGAGTGAGTAGTTTAGCGTAGTAAAAGTACTCTATGTGATACTATAATGGCAAATGCATGCTATTTGTATATTTGTCAAAACTGATGGTTAACCAAAAAACAGCCTGAAGTATGGTACATATTTCATCCTGTGTGATGTAGTAGATAAATAGTAGAAATAGAAAAACTATGCAATGCGATGCACAGGGGTTATTCCTGTCTTTGCACTTAGGAATTACTCCTGGCGGTGCTCTGGAGACCATATGGGATGCAGGGAATAAAACCGGGGTCCGCCACACACACGGGAAGCCTCCAACCCACTGTACTATCACTCCAGCCCCTTCTTCCTACTTTCTACCCAACTTTGTGAACTGAACATAAAACTGTTCATAGATGTAATAATTCAAATATGTCTTCAATATATAAATTTAATTTTGTGGTTTTATTTTAAACACCGATCTATTAATAGTTCAAATAACTTTTACAATAAAATTGCTTTAAGAACTCAGATTTTCAGGATCCCCAGCAAGATAATATCTTAAGTCAGAAATTTGTTAAAGAATTCATTAACAGTGACTTGCCATAGAAATCTGTTCCCATAATAGTAGAGTTTTTCTCCTCTCTATTATTCAGAAATAAACAAGTATTTATTAGGAAAGTAGTTGTAAAAACAGTGATATTTTATGATTTTAAATGGTCTTGAACAATGGTCTTAAACAATGTTTTTTCAAGGGCACTGAAATTTTTATGAATGCATTGCTGTCACTTCAAATCATTTACTAACTGTCCAACAATGTAAACTTTAATATAACAAAAAAGGCAATAAAGGAACTTATCAGTTCTGTGCTTCCAGATTTTGTGAATATTATTAGAGAGGAAAGATGCTGCCCAAAAGTCTGAACTCACCAACCTTGAGACCCTACACTTCAATTTTTTAAAACATTATTTTGAATAGATTTCTTGCTTTATTTTTATTTATTTTTTTAAATAGCATGTTTTCTTATTTATTGGCTTTTTTGGGATCTTACCCGGCGGTGCTCAGGGTTTACTCCTGGCCTTGCTCTTAGGAGTTACTCCTGGCGGTGTTCAGGGGACCATATGGAATGCCGGGGAATGAACCCAGGATTGGTCATGTGCAAGACAAACGCCCTACCCACTGTACTATCGCTGTAGCACTGTAGCACTGGCCTCCCGTTGTTTATTGATTTGCTCGAGCAGGCCTGGTAACATCTCCATTTTGAGACTTGTTGTTACTGTGTTTGGCATATTGAATACATCACGGGTAGCTTGCCAAGCTTTGACTTGCGGGCAAGATACTCTCAGTAGCTTGCTGGGCTCTCTGAGAGGGGTGGAGGAATCGAACCCGGCTCAGCCGGGCTGGCTGCATGCAAGACAAATGCCCTACCACTGTGCTATCGCTCCAGTCCACAGACAAGGAGAAATTATTTGCCCACCACTCACCCAACAAAGAGCTAATATCCAAAATAAATAAAGAACTCATAGAACTCCATAAAAAAATTCAACCCTATAAAAAATGGGGAGAACAGGAACTTCTTCAAAGAAGAAATACAGATGGCCAAAAAGCACGTTTAAAATGCTCTATGTCACTAATCATCAGGGAAGCGCGAATCAAAACAAGATGTCACCTCACACCACAGATATTGGGACTCATCAAAAAGAAAAATAACAAGCAGTGTTGGTGAGGATGTGAGAAAAGAGGAATCCTCATTCACCACTGGTGAAACTTTTGAGTAATCCAACTATTTTGGAAGACATTATGGACATTTCTCAAAAATCTAGGAATTGAGTTTCCATATGTCCCAGCAATACCACTCCTGGAAATATACCCCCAAGGGTCCAAAAGCATAAATCAGAAAAGACTTCTGCACTTCTATGTTCCATGCAGCACTAAATACAATAGCCGAAATATGGGAACAACCCAAACACCCATGAGCAGATGCCTGGATAAAGAAACTATGGCACATATACACAATGGAATACTATACAACCTTAACCTTAAGAAAAGATGGTCATGTGACTTGCTGCAATGTGGAGAGTATCATGTTGAGTAAAATCAGCCAGAGAAAAGAAACAGACTCAGAATAATATCTCCCAGGATTAAGGAAAGCAAGACAGACACAAGAGAGAAAAGTATGAGAGAAAAGCCTTGTGGACTGAGAGCCCCAATTCTCCAGCACATTCCTTATTTATTTATTGCCTTCAACCAACAAGCATAGGAAGAGCTAGGTTAATCATTCACAAACATCTTTATCTAGGCTAGCCTAACCAGACTAAGCTAGTACAAGTCTGCACGCGCTATGTGATAGACGGAGCAATGGGGATATTTGGCTGAGTCGGCATAGAAGATACATGCAAATAGGGCAAATATCTTTGTGATGAAGGGGTCACAGGAGATATATGACTGAGGGTCTCTAAAGCGGGTTTATCTAAGGAGCCTTCTCTGAGAGAGATGGCAAAGATAGTAGTGTTTATAGGACCCCAATCCTGAGACATCTCTTCAAGGATGCCTGCTTTCCCATGGGGTAAAGGCCCCACAAATCACTCTATCCAGCCCCTTTCCTTGATCTGTCTAAGTTTATTCCCAACAAAAGATCAGAGTGGATAAAAGCACTTAATCTATTCTAGGTATAAATAGATAAATAAATGGTAAATCATTTGAGTAAGAGAAATAAAAACTTTAGTGACCAAAAAAGTCCAGGAATATGGAGAAGAAGTATGTGTGGGGTGAAAATGTTAGACATTTCTTTGAAAGTCCGTACTTAGAACAGGTGGGCTGCCACGCCTCCTCCAACCTCCCAGCAGCCAGAAAATTAGAAGCACCGTCTTGAGAAGATGAATTTGGGGGACTGAGACTAGAGAATTCAGACATACTGGAGATGAAGATAAAGTGTCACACTGAAGAAAGATTAAAGGATAGTCTGAGTTCACCTCGGAGTTCCTTTCTCCTCCTTCCTTTCCTCCATTCTCGCCTCCCTTCTTTGTGTTCCCAATTTAGTGATAATCTGGTTTATCTCTCCAAGACAAAGGAATGGAGAGTTTTCCTGTAAAGTACTTGAACAGTCTATGAGAATAGATCTGCCAATAATAGGAAATTTCTGCATTTTATTTTTAAAGGAAAGCCTCGTGCATGGGAGAAGGTGACTTAAAAAGAACAAATATTGGAAACACAGAAGGCTCTTACTATAAGTATACACAGATGCTGGAGGAAATAGAATGTTAAGACATGAGCTGTGAAAATACTGTCTAGCGACCAGCCAGGCCATACTAAAACAAGAGCAAGGAAACTTAAAAGGCTGTCATAAGAAAAACATAATTTTTAAGTGATGGTTCATATAACAATTTTATTAGCACCACATTGTAACCAACTGAGCTAACCAGCCGGCTAATATAACACTTTTAAGCATGTGAAAAGTACTGAGTGTGGTTTCTAGAGTTTTTTATTAGTTTAGTCACAATTAACACTGTGTGAGTAATTAAGGAAATTTAAAAAATTAAAATAATACTTACCTGTAAGAAAAAAAGAAAGTACAGGTTTATTTCTTAACTCAGTGCTTAACAAAATCTTACCTGTTCAAATAATCTACTGGCTAGTTAATGTAACAATAAAATTCTATATTACTGTAGATGAAATTTGAAGGAAGGGAAGAAGACAAAATTAAATCCTGTTCTACCACAAGCGAACATGAGTACATGATGGCTAATTTTGTCATAGTAAGAAATGTATTATTACTGTTATATGTTCCAAAAGGAGTTAAATACTAGAAAAAAGCTTAAAGATTTCAAAGGACTTGTCTTTGGGAATTGAGTAAAGATAAACATTAATACAGACTTATCATTATTATCATGTCATATTGATAATAATAATATTTTATATTCTAATAGTAATAAATATAACATGGGAGTGGAAAGCAGATAAACTAAAGAGTGACAAACTGAGTCTTAGATGTGATTATAAGACATTGAAGAGAGGAGCCAGAGAAAAAAATTCTACCAGGCTAAAAATTCCTGAAAATAATTTATAAGTGAATTTATCTTTCAAACAAAAATCTAAGTATTGTTCATTATCCTCCAATTAAAGTCATAACTATTCACTTATAAGTATGTTATCCAAGTCAATTTATTACTAATACGTTTAGTTAGCACTAAAAATAGAACAAATCACATTCTATAATGTGAATTTTTACAACAAACTTCTGTAGTATTCCAGGTATATATCTATATTTTGAGGAGGAGAAAGGTATATATAGAATCATGAAAAAATATCTTTAAGAAAACTGTTTCCATACTCCTTTTTTCTTCATAATACTACTCCTCTGAAAGAATGGAAAAGTAAAACCCAAAACTAGAAAATTTACTAGCCTTGACTCCGCTGCAGCTGTATGGGTATGGTCCAGCTGCTAGACAAATAGAAAACAGAACAGTTCACAGTAGACAGATTATTTTCTGCCAAGTAGCATGTACTCTGGACGGTGACTGTCTCATTGCCCTGATGCTGTTGTTCCTCTGTAGTGGCACAAGCTCCCTCTGGAGCCCAGGAGATCTGTGTAGTCGACTTCCCTGCTGCAGCTGCCCTGCACACTGCATTTCTCTGCTCTGTCCACGCGGTCACCTCAGGGGGCACTGCAGGGACACAGGGGGAAACAAAATGCTTCAGTCTTACCACCCGAGACATAGGTTTTAGCAATGTTTCTCTCAGTACCCAATCAGGTCATCAGAAATATCACAACATTTGGTGCTCCTTACCTAACACTTGGAGGTTATAACTACGCTGGAGATTTCCATCTGGTATTACAAGTTCACACGTATACTTCCCTTTGTGACTGATGGCCACTGGATCAATCTGAAGGGCAGGATTCTGGTCAGGTCTGGAGGTCCAGGTTACTCTATTGTCACTGCAGTTGTTGCTGGTCTTATTTTTGTCTTCCTTGTAAGCTATGGTGCAGTTCACCTTGCCACCAAGGTCTATTTTCCATGTTGCTAACACCAAATGTGGTGAGGAGGTGGGACAGCAAGAGAGAACAACTTTGGCACCTACAAACACAGTCTCACTAGAGTGAACTAGAAACAAGAGAAGAACAAAGTTAGAAATTTTATGAATCAGTTCCTTCTAAAGAGTTATATTTAAAGCCCCACAAAACCTGTTTATCTTTCAATAAATATTTTACTCATTCTGAAGCCTGAAAAACAACTGGAATTGGTTCAGATTTTTTTCTCAGGGAAACAACATAATTTTATAATTTACAGCATGTATATTTTCAGTTTTGTCACATGAAATATTAAAATGATAGTATATTAAAATGTTAGACCTAATAAAAACCAATTGTTTTTACTGATTTATGAAGAGCACTATTAAGTACAATTTGTAGTGTAGTGTGTGCATGTATGTAACAATAAGGAATTAATGACTCCCTTGAGCCCACACTCATGCCACTGGTGTCTGCTAATGTTCCAATAAATTTCTCTACTAATAAAAATAGAGAATTTACTATTAATAGTTTGTCTGTGTCTAATTACCACCATCTAATTATCACTTGATAAAGAATTTCATATATTTAATATACTCACAGCATACTATATATAGTGGTACAAGAGCACAACTTAGTTGGTTATCTTATTCCAGAAATATTAGACGTAGGTAGTGAATTATGTTATGAATATATGTATTATACTAAACACATCCAAATTAACTAGTGTTTCTTATTATTTATAGTGAACAAAACTTGCCAATAGTAATTTGCCAAAACAAATATGACATTTGCCTTGCACGTAGCTGAACCAACATTTGATCTCCAGCACCCCATATAGTCCACCTAGAACTATCAGGAGTGATCCCTGTGCACAGAACTAAGAGTAAAACTTGAGAACTGCTGGTGTTGGCCCCCAAACCAAAAGCAGAAAATCTAGCAACAGTGCTAAGTCCTCTGACAGGTGACTAGCTGGGTGTATGGGGCACAGCCACACTAAAAGAAGCTCTTCATCAATAAAAATGAATTAGTACCACATGCAAGCTTGGAGATATGGACTGAGAGAAAGAAGGAAACCTGTAAATGCCTCGTACAGCATGCCATGAGTCCACTGTAGAGGATGCTGAAGAGAAAGTAAGACATCACGCTGTAGAGAAAGACATCACGTAAGCTTACACAGACAATAGATATGCACAGCAGTAAGGCCTGCGGAAGTTCAAGGTGTGGGGCATGGGGTTTGTAGCACGTGTAAAAGACAGAACTGCTCTGTAGTCTCATCTCAGTGACAGTAACCCAATGAGACATCTGAGAGCTTATAGAAGGGTAACAGAAAAGCACATGTTGGTCAACCATATGCAATCTTCTTGTCAGGGCACAGAGGTCATCTTCCAGAAACTTTTGCCTGTCAGCCTTAAGACTCAGGCCTTGGCTCTCTTGAGAGGTCCAGGTACTAGAAAAGGCCCTGGGCTGACTTCACAACTCTCTTTGGGTGTGGAAGCCCCAATCCTTGCTTGGCCCTCTCTAGTCTAAAAGGTCTCCTTTTTAAGTTGACTCATTACTGCAATCTTACCACTCTCTACGTTGTCCCTGAAGAGCACAATTGCATTTCTCCATTTCTCACATTGTCCTAGTCTGAGATGTTCTTCACTACACTCTATTAAAACAATCCTTCTGGAATCAGAGAGGTCGTACAGCAGGTAAGGTGCTTGTCTTGTACGTGGCTGACCTGGGTTGATCCTCACACACCATCTGGTTTTCTGAGTTTGTGTGAGGTAATTCCTGAGCACAGAGCCATCGCCAGATATGGCCCCCAAATGAACAAAAGCAATTCTTCTACCCCTTTAGTTTGTCTAATTTACATTTTGCATCTCTATGAAGTTATCTGTATGCTTTGGTATCTTCTCTGCTTCCTGTGTGCTCAGATCTAGATTTGTCAATAAAAGAGCCGCTTGAGAATTTCTTGATAGTCTTTTTCATCTTTGTGATCCTCACAAAGTACAGATAATATTTAATAGAGAAAAGTATGTAATCTTCTAGTGGGGTTTGTTGCTCTAGGCAAAGATTCATTCAGGGTAGTTCATATAAGTCATTCAGGCAACCACGTACTTCAATTCTGTAAAGGCTATACTTAGACCAGACATTCAACTACTTCCCTAAAGAAATAAATACTTCAGCCCTCTAGATTAAATAAAAGGTTTATTACCTTCTGCTGAATCTATTTTGCACTGTTTTACATCCACAGATGAATTAGCTGTTGAACCTAAAATACATTCAGGGGAAAATTAGGCAAAATCAATTTTATGTTTTTAAATGGAGAAGTATCATTACCTAGCCACAAAACTCATATAAAATACACTAATAAATTAGTTAGCCATAACTAGATTACACAAAAATCTCTGAGGAATAGAAACTCCTTCATTAAATAAAAAAAATTTAACAGAAATAACATTCATATGCTATTAATTTTTGGAAACATCAAGAAAAGTATATTTTTAGTTTTTTTCTTTTTATCATAATTGAGGTAACATAGTTAAAATAGTATTAATACTTATAGTCTTGGTGTACAAAATTTCTATACCTCAATTACTAACAAAATGCCAAAGACCTTCCATCACTGGTGTTACATCACTTTAGTCAGTCTCTTCCTTTTTTCTCATCCCTTTTCCCCACTGCGATAGCACAGCAGGTAGGGCGTTTGCCTTGCACGTGGCTGACCTGGCTGACACCAGTTCGATTCCTCCACCCCTCTCGGAGAGCCTGGCAAGCTACCGAGACTATCTCGCCCACACGGCAAAGCCTGGTGAGCTACCTTTGACGTGTTCGATATGCCAAACACAGTAACAACTGTCACAATGGAGACGTTACTGGGCGCGCTTGAGCAAATCGATGAACAATGGGAGTGACAGTAACAGTGACAGTGACAGTTTCCCCACTGCTTGGTAATCTCAATTCTGCAATTATAGGCCAAGGATTTGTCATCATTAGACGGTGTCCATTCCCTAGCTTTGTAGTTTTAGATGTCACATTTGAGAAAGACCAGCTAGCAGTTATCCTTCTCACTCTGAGTTATTTTCTTTAGCATAATGTCTTCAAATTCCATCGAGGTTGTACCAAACTGGCTAGTATTTCGTTGTGCGTATATACCAGCATCTTCTTATCCACTCATCTGCCATTGACATTTGGGTTGATCATAAATGATGCTGCAATGAACTTGAATATGCATCAGCTTTTTCATGTTTAATGTCTTTGTGTTATTGGAACAGATACCTAGATGTGAAATTTCTGGGTCATATGGAAATTATATGTATATATTTTTACTTTTCCAGAAGTCTCTATACTGATTTCTATAGAGGCTGAACCAATTCCACCAATAGTAAATAAGAGATGTTTTTTTCCCCACATCCCACTAACACTGGCTATTTCTATCTTTTTACATTAGCTATTATGTTGCTGTTATGATTTTATTTACACTGATAATAAGTGATTGTTAATGATTTTCACATGTCCATTGGCCATATGTCTGTCTTCTTCAAAGAACTATCTGCTCATCTCCTTTCTCCTATTTTTTTAAATGGAATCGTTGATTTTTGTTATTGAGCTTTCGGAGAAAAAACAATAGGTTATTCTTCTTAGTATTTTGAACTAAACCCGAGTACCACTCAGAGCTTACATCAGCTCTTGCTCAGGAAGAGCTCATAGTGATGCTTGAAAGAATATAAATGGTGCCAGGGATGGAACAAGGTTTGATTGAGTGCAAGGCAAGTGCCTTAATCCCCTTACTATCTCTCTGACCACGAGTTTAAAGTTCTATTAGGAACAAAGTGTGAAAATAAAATGTAGTAGATTATGTAAAAGAGAAAAATCATAATCCAAAATTTTTTACCAGAAAGGTTAGAGTAAATATTTGGGGCTTTATCATATATATATTATCTCAGCTGGAAATATTTAACTCAATTATTACAGGAAAATAACATTCATAAGATTTTAAAAACTGGACATGACTTTGTTACAGCACATTTAATTTAGGAAAGCATATATTTGACTGGATTTTTCCCATGGACTATAGTTTACTGACTTTGACTCAAAGTACAGTGTTCTGGAACCAGGGACATTATTCAAAGGGGTAGAGCTCAAACCATGCATGTTGAAAAATCAAATGTGATTGCTGGTACTATCTGGACCCCTGAATATTGCCAGGTATTATCACTATGGCTCCAACACTGCTAACACAAGCATGAGACTTCAGGACATTGTTGCCATGCTAAGTACTGCTGAAAATGGCCTTATTGCTGAGAGTGGCCCCAGGGCACTACTTGGGAGATCTATAAATAAAGCATGGTTTTTTATTTATTCTCTTTTCTTACATTTACCACAATAAAAAGAAAACCAATAAGCATCTATTGAGTATCCTAATTTATTAATTCACTTCTTTTAAAACTAAAATACCCAGAGATAAATCAGATACATAGCTCAAATTTAATTTTATATTTTGTTTTTACTTTAAGTGAAGTGTGTGTTGAAGGGACGCAGTGGGATTTTTTTAAGTACTGAAACTACAGTGAGCTCTGCCCCATTCCCAATCACAGAGCTGTCAGGTGGTTAGAAGGTGGCAGCCACGATGCACAAAGCAGAGTAACCAGCAGAGGTGAGTCTTCTCCTGCAGATATTTTGGTCCCTGTAACCCTGATTCCACTGTAGCTCTGTAGCGTTGTCATCCTGTTGTTCATCAATTTGCTCAAGCAGGCACCAGTAACATCTCCACTGTGAGACTTGTTACTGTTTTTGTCATATCGAATACACCATGGGGAGCTTGCCAGGCTTTGCCATGCGAGCAGGGTACTCTTGGTAGATTGCCGGGCTCTCCGACAGGGGTGGAGGAATCGAACCCTGGGTAGGCTGTGTGCAAGGCAAACACCCTACCCGTTTTGTTATCCCTCCAGTCCAGCTACCAATTTTTAAATGTAGGTTTTTGTGGATGAAAAGTTCAATAAGTTAAAATTTGATTGCTGCTCTTCTCTTGTCTTTTGTATTTTACTTTATATGTGTTACAGAAAGTGTTGCTTTTAGTTATAAGCAAGTGATTTTTCTGTGTTCTATAATCTTATCGCCATTTCAGTAAATTCCCATTTTTGACATTTTGTGCAAATGCCAACAATTTGGCCACATTAAGTTTTATTTGATATACTAAATCACCACTGTCCTGATACTATATGATTCAGCTAGAACTGTCTTACCTTACTAAGTGGCATCTTTATAATTGAATCATTCTCCAAGCACTTTGAATGTTAATGTTCTCCAAGTATGTTGACGTGTGGAAGAAGTACAAATCTTTAGTAAAGGTAGTCTATTAGGTCTAGGCACATGGAGAAATCTGTCTCTAGAGCTTATACTAAATTCCTCTACAATCAAAGAAAACTCATGTCCTTCCAAAGATTATCTTGAGAAAGAAAATAGTTGTCCTTTAAATTTCTCATACCAGAATTAAAACACACAGATAGGAAAGTACTTTGCAGTGTACAAAAAATTATGATTTCAGACATCTAACAATGCCACCAGTTGGTAAACCAGCTTACCCTAACTTCAGTTAGACCACGTAGAACCTTTACCTCATGCCATGACTGCCAGAAGAGAGTCTGATCCAGACTAATGCTTCCAGATCCAGAGATCCCAATGACTAGCATAGCACCTTGATCAAAATTTAGATTTCAGATCACACAGAGTACTACGAAAATGAATAAATTAAGGAATTCCATTCTATCAACAGATAGTGACAAAGCCAAGAAACATATTGAAATACATCATACCTTTCCAAGATTCCTAAAGAACTCTTTAGAACATTAATCCACTATATGCTAAATGATCTTAAAAGATCACCTGAATAGAGAATTAACAAACTTCAAGTAACTCTGATGGAAAAAGATGAAGAAACACATTCAAGTAGAAATCAAGGAGCTAAAAAATACAGAAACAAAAATCAGCAACAGAATGGAGGAAGGTGAAAATTGAATTTGTGACACTGAGGACAATAAAGACAAAACTCCAATAAAGAGGTAATGGAAACACGTGCCCTGCTCATGGATTTGGAGGATGAAGATGGTAATACTCCCCAAAGCATTATATAGATTCAATCTGGTCCCTATAAGGTTACCAAAGACATTTTTTTTCAAAGAAGTAGATCAAAAACTCCTAAAATTCGTTTGGAACAATAAACCCCCACGAATAGCTAAAGGAATTCTTGGAAAAAAGAAGATGGGAGACATTACCTTCTCCAACTTCAAATTGAGGGTAATTTAAGATACATTGTTGACAATATTGTAAGGAATAGCCTCAGAATAAACACAGAATTAAAGGAGAGGAAAAGGAAGAGAATGACTGAAAAATATAATGTCTCAGAAATTCTCCAACTGGCAAAGGGAAATTGATGTACTGATTAAAAGAAAAAAAAGAGGACAAAAAAATATTCCAATCCAAGTAAACCCAAGCAGAATAATACTAAGACACACTATAATCAAAGTGACAAGGACAAAAGGCAGGTATCAACTCCTTAAAGTAGCAAGAAGGAAGCAAGAACTAATATAGATTGGGAAAAGATGAACTAACATCAAATTTCTCAAATGAAATTCTAAAATCAAGATGAAAAGAGAATAATATATTTTACATGTCCAATAAAAAGAACTGCCCACCAAGATTACTCTACTCTTCAAGGTTATCACTGAGATTCAAAGAATAATAAAATCATTTCAGACAAACAAGACTGAGGACATTTGTTGCATCTAAACCACCTCAGTTAGGAATAATGAATAGGCTCATATAAAAAGGTAAAGGTAAAGGTAAAGGTAAAGGTAAAGGTAAAGGTAAAGGCCCTCCCGTTGATCATCGATTTGCTTGAGCGGGCCCAGTAACGTCTCCATTGGAGACTTTGTTGTTACTGTGTCTGGCATATCGAATACATCACGGGGAGCTTGCCAGGCTCTGCCGTGCGGGCGAGATACTCTCGGTAGCTTGCCAGGCTCTCCGAGAGGGGCGGAGGAATCGAACTCGGGTTGGCCGTGTTGGCTGTGTGCAAGGCAAATGCCGTACCGCTGTGCTACCACTCCAGCCCCCAGCCCCATATAAAAAGAAAAGCCAAATAAATAAATAAATAAATAAATAGAAAAAAAAGAAAAGCCAAATGTCAAAAGCATTCAAAATCCCCATAGAGAAATGGTAATAAATTTCAAGAAATTAATCATTTCTCTCAACGTCAATGGAATGCAGTCTCCCATTAAAAGGTACAGAGTAGGTGGATATATAAGAAAATTTAGATCTGCTGCTTACAAGAACCTAACTTGAACAAGCATAATAAACACAGGCAAGAGTCAACATTGGAAAACAATTATACAGCCTAATGGTAGACTGAAATACAAATTTAGTCATACTCAGATCCAACCAAATAGCATTCAAGCTAAAGAAAGTTATACAATAAAAGATACGGATGATCATTACATTGATCAAGGCATCAGTAGATAAAAAGAATTTATTCTTATCAATATATATGCACCACTTGAAGGGTCAGAAAAGTACTAAAAGCAACTGCTAATATACTGAAGAGGCTTATCAATGGCAATAGAAGACTTTAACACTGCACACTCAGTATAAAATAGATAAGCAAACCAAACATCAATGAGCAAACTATAGCCTTAAAAGAGGAATCTGAAGAACTCGCACTAACAGGACCTTCCATACCAAGAAAACTGAATACACATTTTTCCCCAGTGCACCTGGAACATTTTTCAGGATAACCCAATGCTGGGGCACAGTTCAAATGTCAATAAAATTACCAAAATAAGTCATGTCTCTGTTCAGGCCAGATAAGTAGTCTAGCAAATAAGGTGCTTGCCTAGCATGCAACCAAACTGAGTTTGAACCCTGTCACCACATATGGTCCTGAGTATAGCCAGAAGTAAGCCCTGGTACTGTCAGGTGTGATGCCAAAACAAACAAACAAAATACCCCCAAAGTATCTTTTCATATCACAATGTCATCAATTTAGAAATTAACAATATAAAGAGCTACAGGAAACTGAACAACATACCATCAAACAACCATTAGGCAAAAGAG